CAGGTTCATATTATGGACAAAAAATAGTTGTGACATGATTTGAGGGATTGCTTTCCAGGTGTTGCAAGATTGTTTCAATTTATCCTGCTAGGATGCCTAATTTACTTCAATGTAAAGTTTTAACTTTGCACCTCCTGTTAGTTATTAGGTTTTTCACTTGACTCAGAGCTGGGTGAAGGAACAAAACAGAAGTCAGGTGGGCATTTGATGTGAAATTTTTAGCCATGTTCTTTTTAGTGGCATAAGAACATATTTCTTAGGTATGGACTTTTTTTGCCCATGATTTTTCTTGAAAGGTTATGGCACTCGTGATGGCTAAACTTAAAGCTTTTAGGTATTTGTTCTCTAATGAGATCTTTTTTTGTACTTTCTTATTTTATTATCAATATTAAGTTTTGTCAAGTAGCTAGTCATCTTTGTGCTTATTTTCATGAAACAGTTCAGCAATTTGCTGACTTTACCTTTCCAGTATAGGTATACTGTATCTATGAAAAAGAGTTTGAATGTTAGGTTGCTGATAACTTCTTGTTCTGGTCTTTGTGATGTTTCATTGAAAAATAGTTCTTATCATGTAATTTTGATGCATTTTTCTTGGTATTTTCAGCATTTGGAAGAGGCTCTTGGTCCTTTATTCAGAGAGAAAGAGAAAAGACTACATGACTACAATCATTTGAAGGGCAAACTTGATGGTGAATATAAGGAGGAGGATGACCGTAACAGAAAATACCGAGACGAATTTAAAGAACTTGCTCTGACTAATTCTAAGATCAGAGAGTATGTTTCATTATGTGTGTGTGTGTGCGCGCATGTGTATCTATGTTTAAGAGACAGAACTCTTGCAAACACTCATAATGTCCAGTACAGCTAATATTTTTAAAAACTAACATTGGTTAAATATTATGTTCATGTAGATCTTGCTTGTCCAATTTCACATTAAATGAATATGGTTAAGTATTTCATTGATTACACAGGATTTTATGTCGTTAAATATGTTAGAAAATCTGGTTTTTTCAATCGGTCAACTTGTTATTTAGCATGCATGATCTATATGAATAGAATATAATAATCAATCCAACAGTTGATTTTTTAGAATATTGACTGTATTGGCAACCATAAGCATGTAAGAGTTCCTTATTATTAAATGTGTGTATGTCTATCAGATTGCATTTATTCTGATCAGAAGGTTTCTTTCACCAGGTATAATGATTCCAAAAAAGGTGAGAGGTTAAAGGAACTGCAAGAACAGAAGTCTGCATTGCAAACTGAAATTCAGAGTTGCAAAACTAGGAGGGAAGAAACTTCAGATGAGATAAGCAAAAGCAATACCTTGATGGGGAATCAAAATAAACTAAGACGCAATATTGTGGATAATTTAAATTACAGGAAAATAAAAGCTCAAGTTGATGCTTTAACATGGGAGATTGAATCACTTGAAGACAGAATGTTGAAGATAGGTGGGATTTCTAAATTTGAAGGTGAACTCAAAAAGCTCCTGCAAGAAAAAGAGAGACTTCATTCAGAGGTATCTACAATACTCTCAGTCCTGCTTTCACATAAACTTATTTCAAGTAAACACATCGTCAACAGCTCTTCATCTGCCATAAGTTTATCTTGCAAATTAGGACTAAACGTACAGTTCATAAGGTTGTTCATTCATGAAATGTTGAAAACTGAAAGGTGTACTATCTACAAAATTTTCAGTTAGATTTTACATGTCTTGCACTTTTTCTTTTTTTCTTTTTTCATAATTGTTTAAAATCTTATTTTCTCTTCTTATTTGTTTTTATTTTGCTTTTCTGTTTTCTTTGCAAAACTAAGCAACTTATGATATAATAATGGGTATGCAATGTCGAGGTTGAATTTAGACACTAGGACACGGAATGGTGTTAACAGTTCTTAGATTCGAAGGTTGCCATTATTCAGAAAGTTACATATTTGCAGTGCTTTAATTCTGCGGGGGAGAATAAAAATAGTCAATTTAATGCAGTCTTGCAATGTGGAAGTAGTGTCTCTATGGTTTTAGTTTTCTAAACGAGCATTTGTATGAGAGTTATGTTGTGTAATCTTGCCTGACCCCTAACAAGTTCATGTGAAGCACTTGTTGGACACTTTTGAATCTGCATATACATGATTCTTGGGTACTTGAAAAAAGGAAACACTGGCAAAAAAATGAACAAAAAATAAGCATATCCAAGCAAGAGACAAGAGAAACAGAAGGAGAAATAAAAGGCTTCTTTTTTTCTTGTATTCGAGAAAGAAAAGGTTTAAAAATCAGAAATTACTTAGGAGAAGGATAAGGTTGATCCTATAAATGACTAATAGCTGCAGTGATATCAGTTCTGCTTTAGAGCTTTGAATGAAGTTTTTGCTTTTCTTATTAAGTACTCCAATGAAGTCAATTAAATGCAGAGAGATCTATGTGTAGGATTGAAAATTTTCCTATTAAGATGCTGTCTGCTGAAAGGTTTAAAGAATTTCAGATGTTTGTTCTTCTCAGGCTAGAGGGGAGAGTTAACAGTCTATACATATTGTCATTTCATTTGGCTTGTTTGTTCTGCTATTCTAGCTCTGCATTTTAATATTGAACCAATGTTTCAAAGCCGCCAACAGTCTTATCAATGTGAAAAGTCTAAGATGGATTTGCTTTCCTGCAGTTTAACAAATGCCAAGGAACGATGTCAGTTTACCAGAACAATATTGCAAAGAATAGAGATGATCTCAAACAAGCACAATACAAGGACATTGATAAACGGTATTTTGATCAGCTAATCCAGCTGAAGGTAGGATATGTTTTAAATTTGTAATGTATCACAGTTTTTCTTCCTTTATTATGTGTTAGCTTGTATTGTTAACTTATTCTGTGACAGACTACCGAGATGGCAAACAAGGACCTGGACAGATACTGTACTGCCCTTGACAAGTAAGCGACTTGGATAAGCTTCATTTTGTCAGTTGTTCATACACACCTGGATAATCTTTTTGGCTAGGATTCTTCCCTACATAATGTCTGTCATTTATTTTCTAAAATGAATGAGATTTTATGAGATAAGGATGTAACTACCTAATCATGGTGTATGATTTGTACAATTGATGCCTCAATTGGTGACTAGGCTCTGGATTTATGGAATAATTTTCTACTCCGTTTACTTTGACAATGGGAACTAGTGTTGACTGAGTTTTCCTTTTGTAACTGTCTTATTTGTTTCCCTCAGAGCACTCATGCGCTTCCATACAATCAAAATGGAGGAAATTAATAAAATTATAAGAGAGCTATGGCAACAAACGTACAGGGGACAAGATATAGATTATATTAGAATTCATTCAGATTCTGAAGGTGCAGTTGCAGGTGCAGCAACTCGTTCCTACAGCTACAGGGTTAGGAATCTTCTCCCTTTGTCCCTGTTTCTCCTTTTCTTTTTTTTTTTGTATTCAACTCCTTGATGTCATTTTGTTTGCATCCCATGCAGGTTCTCATGCAAACTGGTGATACTGAGCTTGAAATGAGAGGAAGATGTAGTGCTGGTCAAAAGGTGAGTGATCACAGAACAGAGAAATTTATTGTGGGATAAATGATCATCTAGAATGAAGTACTATGATCTATAACCCTTGGAAGAAATGTTAAAATACAGGTTGTTTTTGATATGTTTTCAGGTCCTTGCATCCCTTATCATACGATTGGCTTTAGCTGAGACTTTTTGCCTCAACTGTGGAATATTAGCACTAGATGAACCAACCACAAATTTGGATGGCCCAAATGCAGAGAGTCTTGCAGCTGCCCTTCTGAGGTACGGGCAATCTTATGTTCTTGAGTGTGTTCAGCAAGATAAGAGAGCTTCTATATATTGACAATGCCCCTACTTTGTCCAGAATTATGGAGGATAGAAAGGGCCAGGAGAACTTCCAGCTGATAGTCATTACTCACGATGAGCGTTTTGCCCAAATGATTGGTCAGCGTCAACATGCAGAAAAATATTACCGGGTCGCAAAGGATGATCAGTAAGGCTACTTTTATTCACTCTCCTGTGTTGCTCTTTTTATTTTATTTTTTGTTTCGTTTATAATTACTCGTTTTTCTGTTTCTCTTTCATTCTCAGTCAGCATAGTATAATTGAAGGCCAGGAGATATTTGATTGATTGACCATTCCAAATGGGTTTTCTGCATCATGCACACTAGTAAATTTACCAGTCCTCAAGATGGAACAATGCAACAGAGCTTGTGTTTGAAAAGTTAAAGTGGGAAGGTGAATTTATGCAAGGAAACTTGTGTTTTAGGAAATTTATTACTATGGTTTGTTTTTCACTTCTCACCTAGATCCACTTTTCTCATTAACCTGGGGCGATGTTTTTAATCCTTTGAACTTAGTTATGAATTTTGGTTTAAGGCTTTAAGCCACAATTAGTTTCATTTCAAAGGCTGCCGTTTGCAAGGAATGATGCAAGTTAACCAAATAATTTTCTAGGTGACTCAGAATTCCAAATGATAGCATCGTTTTTATTTTGGCCCAAACCATATTGGAAAATTCGGTTCAAGATTTACAATTAAATAGGAAATAATGTAGCATTACCATGGGATATAAGTAACCAGTGATTATCTTAAGAATTTTCTCGTATAAATGGAATTTCATAAATTCCAAAAAGATAAGTAGATTCAGATGATATGTTAGCACTGTGTATGCCTAGGTGATTATTGTAGATATGTTGTTTTCATGCAATAGAAAAGCTTGCCTTTTTTCCCAAAATAAAAAATAAAAAATAAAAGAACACTTGAAAAGAAATCATAATAAATTTCAATAATCCACTACTGAACATTTAAAATTGCATAATTTTTTTTGCATTTTTCTATAACATGCATAATTTCTTACTTATTAGTAAGCATATAATAATAATAATAATAATAACAACAGACTTAACCAACAAGAAAACATAAGAAATTGATACATGACCAACACAACACCAAACGAAAATCATATGGAAATCGACCACTAATCTAAGATATCAATAACCATAACAAATTCATCTCTAAACCAATTTTTCTCTTCCTCAGCAGTAATCAAATTTAAGAAAAATTTTCAAAGATCCAGACACTTTGATCATGAAACTTGTTGCATTTTTAGTATCCTTTGGATTTAATCCTTATACTTCATCTCAGACATCAGGAAGCCAGGCATGTCGAATGAGGATGAAAACTTCTCAACATCAGCCTTGAGTTGCTCAATCTCCTTGTTATTCACCAAACCCTTGTTGAAGTCTTTCAAGAGCTTTCCATGCTCCTTTTGGATGCTCAAGGTAATTGTCACGGCACGGTGAAGGAACTCTCCAATCTGTTCAAAGTCCTTCTCAA